ACTGATATTTGGACTTCATTTACTCTTTCCTTTTGGTCCTGCGGCTGTCTGGTGACTGGTTCTGATAACAGGAACATACCCCTTGATCCTTCTTGTCTGTAGCGAGTTTGCCGGTTGAAGGGTTCATTCCCTTGTACACATTGCCCCTGTTTGTTCCACAGAACCACCTGATTTTGTTTTCTTGAAGGAAGCTAGGCTGAGGAATTTCTTATCGCTAGCGAGGGGGAAGGACAGAAAGGTTGGCCACATGTCAGCCAGTCCTGGCTTTGAAGTTCCCTCCGCAGGGGGGGTCTTCGTTTTGATGACTGCTATCTTACTGTTAGCCACGTAGGCCTCTTCAAACTTTGCACTATGCTCCTCCGCTTTACCGTCTTCCTCACTCGTTTTCCGTCTTACTGTCCCCCTGATGATGAACCAGAGCTCTGTTTGAGTAGTAGTAGTAGAGCAAGAGATGCTACTCTTTTGAGTGGACTTCTTTCTTCCCTCCGCCTTCTCCTGTTTAGCCATTTGTTTACTAAAACCGCCAAGTACCATAGCAGCCATTGCAGAATCTAAAACCACTAGGACTTCCAAGCCTCGTTTTCCCGAGGCTCGAAAATGCTCTGCGAGCTAAGAGAAAACGAACTGGCATGGGCCTCCTCCTTTTGGCTGGGGCCGCTAGCCATTTCTCTCAGACAGCTGACCCCAAAAAGTTGCGGCGTGCATCCGGCCGATCTCGAGAAAACTGGCTGGGAAATGTACAGGTGGTTCATTGTCGGACGGGCTAGCAGGCCATGAGATAGTTTCTAGCCTCTGAGGGAAATATCCATGTGTTTCCGGTTGTCTACTCTAGCACGTTTACCCTGAAGCTTATTAACAATCTCTACCCTGCGTCAGGTTCGGAGCCCATTTCGCTGGGTCCACTTCTACATCCTTCAATGCCGTTTTGGGATGGTAGACCACCAGCTCTTCATTCTCAGCCACTCTCATCTGACTAAGGAGGTCCCTTCTGAGTCCTGACCACACTTGTGAAAAAAGGTTTATAAAGAACCAGTTTCCTTAAGAGACTTTGCAGTAGTCTGATCCTGGTTCTCTTTTTAAACCTTTTTTAAAGTTTTTTTTTCAAAATTTGGACCGTTTGTCCTTAGGGACATCCGTTAAAATTGGAACGATACAATGGCCCCTGCGTGAGGATGACATGCATAAATCTAGAAATGGACCAAATGGTGTCCAATTACAAAAAAATTGGACCATTTCTCGATTTATGCATGTCATCCTTGTGTAGGGGCCATTCTAATCTTACTTTGTATCGATCCAATTCTAACGGATGTTCCGAAGGACTGCGCTTCTGGTTCTTCTATCTCATGAATTCATTGAATCGTGAATCTTAACCAATTTTATGATAATTTTTATCTGCTTTTGAACTGACTTGTTCACAAGTTGAGGGAGAAAAAAAGGGTTGTGCGGGCATCACCAGTGTTAAGAGACTTCTCTTTTCTTTTTGTTGTTGACTTTTCAAATCAAAATTTTCTAAGCCCCCATGCTCTGGGCGCTGGATCCGTTAGATCCAAGGTGCGTCACTCTTGTCACGCTGCACTACGATTCCAAACCAAACCCCTCACTAGTGGGGCCTTCTAAAAACACCCTGGAATCGGAGTGATTTTCTAAAACTTCGAGAAAAAAAATCCACAAATTTGTCAAATGCTGCAGCGAAGGATGGACAAGCGCTTGCAACATTTGCGAGGTTCTGCAGCAAACCCACATACATGCAAAAAGGTACTTTTTTTTTGCCGTTACGTTCTTCAATTCCTTAACGATTCTGTAAAAACTTCCTAAAAAGGTACTTTACCCAGCCCATGTGGCTGAATGGTATACAGTGCTATACACACATATATAACTACTAGTAAACAGAACATGGCTTCAACTTTTAAGAGTCCTGACTCCTGACAGAATCTGACGATCACATCCCCGACGATTACAATAAAGTTAGGGACTACCCCCTCAAAAGGAAGCAAAGGGAACAAAGAACTGGATATCATCATATCACATCATGCCGTGTCTGATGGAGTGTTGTTCGACAAACCGCTGTCAGATGAAGTGCTTGTCTTTTGACTCTTTTCTCTGTAAACCGCTGCTGTCGATCTTTTTTTTTTTTTTTTAAGGGCCATGCTAATCTTCTCTGTATCGTTCCAATTTTAACGGATGTTATGCGTGTCATCCTTGCGCAGGGGCCATGCTAATCTTCTCTGTATCGTTCCAATTTTAACGGATGTCCTGAAGGATGCTGCTGTCGATCTTGATTGCCGATGAACGTTGTTTTTTTCTGCAAACTGCTGTCGCTTTGACAGAGAGGAAAGGGTAGCAGGCCCTGAGCAGTTCGAAACTCTCTGTTTTTCTGCCAACCACTCTCTTTTCTAGTGCCTTGTGACCGTCAAGGCTTTTTTTCTCATGGCCTTGACACTCTTTTGCAGTCCGTTAAATAGTGCAATGGTGACCTTTTTCCTAGTCCCATTGCCCCCACACTTGAAAGAGAGGAAAGGGTAGCAGGCCCTGCGCAGTTTGACACACTCGTTTTTCTGCCAATCGCTGTCAGTCTCCATTTCTCATGGAAGTGTTTTGTTGCAAACCACTGCTGTCGATTTCCATTTCCGATGAAGTGTTTGTCTCTGCAAACCGCTGTCAATCTGACGGCGAGGAAAGGGTAGCAAGCCGCAAACAGTTCAACACTCGTCTTTTTTCTGCAAACCGCTGTTGATCTCCATTACTGATGATGAAGTGTTTCTCCGCCAATCGCTGTCGATGTGACGGCGAGGAAAGGGTAGCAAGCCACGAACTGTTCGACACTTGTCTTTTTTTTTTTTTTTTTTTTTTTCCCTTTCTGCAAACCACTGTCGATCTCCATTACTGATGACGGAGTATTTCTCCGCCAACCGCTGTTGATGTGACGGCGAGGAAAGGGTAGCAAGCCACAAACAGTTCGGCACTCTCGTCTCTCTTTTTTCCCCCTGCAAATCGCTGTCAAACTCCATTACTGATGATGAAATGTTTCACTGCAAACTGCTGTCTATCTCCATTACTGATGACAAAGTGTTTTTCAGCAAACCGCTCTCGATCTGATAGAGAGAGCAGGCTAGCATGCCACAAGCAGTTCCTCCGACACTGTGTTTTTCTGGAGACTGCTGTCAATCCCCATTACTGCGTGAACGCCGTGATGTGCTTTTTTTCCCCTCTGCAAACTGCTGTCAACCTCCTTACTTTTTTTTTTTTTTTTTTTTTTTTGAATCGCTCTCCTCCTTCCCCCCCCCCTCCGCCTTTCCCCATTCTTCTCTCCCCCCCTTCCCCTCTCCTCCTCCCTACTCTTTTTTCCCTTCTTTCGTATTCCTTTTTCTCTTCACTCTCGCCTCTTGTCTTTTCCTTTTTTCTCATCTTCTCTCTCCCCTCCTCTCCCTCCTCCTCCCCGTTTTCCCTCTCTTCTCCTTTCTCCTTTCCCCCCTCTCCCTTTTCCTCGTCTTCTCCTCCCCCTCCTCCTTCTTCTTCCCTTTTTCCCTTTTCTTTTTCTTCTTTCTCCTCTCTACCTCTTCCCTCACTGTCAATCTCAATCTCTGATGGAGCGTTCCTTTTCCTGCAAACCACTCCTTTTGATTTCCACTTCTGTCGAAGTGTTTTTCTTTTTTTTTGGTTTTGGTTTTGTTTTTTCCCTGCCTCTGTAGACCGCTTTTGATCTGACAGAGAGGACAGGGTAGAGCAGACCACGAGCAATTCAGCACTGATCGAAGTCTGATTCCGTCCTTCGTTGCGTGGCAAATTCATTCGAATCTGGTAGGAAAATGGACATAACGTCTTCCCCCAAGCAGAATGTACGGCCATTATGGATGTACCTAGATTCTAGACTGAACGCTGCTCCAGTACAGCTATAACGACCATTCGTCGATTCGGGGAAGACGGTAGCAGGGAATAGGGTAGCAGGCTGTGAGCGAATGTTACCTTGATGCGAGTGAGATTACACGAGGGTGGTCGCAGATTCAGGCTTGGTCAGAGGGACCAGGCAGAGGAAAGGGCAGCAGGCTGTGAATGAACCTCACCTTGAGTTGTGAGTTATAGATTGCTTCAGGGCGATTCAGATTTTCCAGGACATAAGAGTGGTCGTCAACCCGGTAAAGGGCGAAGGGAGGGAAGCTGGCCAATGCTGGTGCGGCTCATGGATATGAGTGAATGTGACCTTGATGCAAGTCCCGGTTCCTTCGAGGTGCAGCGGTTCAGAGAGCAACTGAGGAATGCTGTGCAAGCCCAGTGCAAGGAAAGAGTAGGGCAGGGCATAGCTGGGGGGCTGCTGCGCAACTCTGATGAGTCCTTCGGGGTGCAGATTCTCCTTCCCTCCGTGCGAGAAATGTGTTTCCCTGGCCTCGCAACCATTTCTGTGGTCCCCACCACCATTACCTGCCTGGTTCCGAAAACCATTTTTCGAGGTGCTGAAAACAATTCTCCGCGGTCCTGAAAACCATCGTCTGTGGTCCGGAAAACCATTTTTTTGTGGTCCTGACATCCATGTTTCTGTGGTCCTGAAAACCATTTTTTGCTGTCCTGACAGACGAGGAGGGGTGGGCAGGGGTGTACTTTTCCATGGCCACCAACTCTGAATTTCTGATGCATGCAAGCCTGACTTCTTAAAGGCAGCGTGAAGATTCAGTTCTGGCGAGTAACGGCTTCCCTGATCTGCTGAGGGGGAATAGTGGGCCACATGATGAGTCCAACAACAACAGCGCGAGTTTGATTCAAAGCTTTCACAACAGATGACAGATTGAATCGTTCGTTGTGAGATGAGAAAAATGTTGCGGAGATCAGATCTTGCACTTGCACTTGCGGATGAGAAGTCGAACCTCGAACTCGGAAAAGTTTTTTTCTTTTTCTTTCTTTCTTTCTTTCTGGCTGGCAGAGAACCAACCACCCCAACTATTGACAGACAGCAAGATAAAGCCGGTCCTACTGAAACTACCGGTGTTCCTTGGAGAATCTGCCCATCAAATCGTCGACTCCTTTTATTCTCACGGAATTGCCAGCTCAAACTAGTCCTTGCAGGGCCGCCTTCTCAATCATCTCGAGCAAGTCTTCAACACTTGAGCCCGTACACGCTGGAAAAGAAATGCAATCATTTTTTTTTGCATCAAAGACAAAGAAAGATTCAAAACCTCAAATGCCCAGTCAATCCCAGCTCCCCACCCAATTCAATCAAATCCACTTGAATTTTAAAGTTCAATTTTGCTCCATCCATAAGATTCCGTATCTGATCCAGTCCAGTGCTTTGCACATTCTATCCAAACTTTCCTAAGAATCCAAACACTATTCAATAATTCAACCCAACGTTTTACGGTTTTACGCATTCTGTCCACGTCTGATCCCACCTAACCTTTTCACATCTTTTTTTTTTTTTTTTTTAATTTGAACCATTTCTCGATTTATGCGTGTCATCCTTGCACAGGGGCTATGCTAATCTTCTCTGTATCGTTCCAATTTCAACGGATGTCCCGAAGGACACTAACCTTTTCACATCTAATCCAATCCAAAAATAAAAATAAAAAAATCCAATCCTTTTTTTCCTTTTCCTAAATTTCTTTCAAGAACCTTATGGTTCTAACTTCTAAGGTTCTGTTCTTCTTCTTCTTCTTTTTTTTTCCTTCTTTTTTTTCTTTTTTTTAAAAAGAACCTTATGGTTCTGGCCCCTTATCCATTCTGGGGAGCATCAGTCCGATTCCCATTCCACCGCCAAGTCAAGAGAATACAAAAAGTAGGCACTCCACGGTTCTGCCCATTATGGGTTGAGAGATCTGAGAGGGCAGCATTGATATGTTATGTGCCTGATTGAAACAAGATGCAGCATGGCATTCACACGCTCCCGTACACATGCACAATGGCAAGAGACCTTGGGGAGAGAAAACCACACCACACCATGATGATGAGAATACCCAGCAGAATCACACAAAGCCAAAAATAAAATTGGAATTTGGAAATCAATTCAAGAATTTCAATTCTAATTAACCTCTCTCCCTCCAGCCAATCAACACACTGTTTTCCCCAAGAATCCCAACCATGTTATCAACACCCAAAGAACAATTATATACAGGTTTCATTCGAACAGGGAGACTTATTCGTCCTCCCTCAAAGTCAAGCTCTGACCATGGCGCACGTGCGCCCAACCCCAACAGCCCATCAAGCGCTGGAGCACCCTGACTCAAGCGCCCTGCCAGCCAATCCTCTTAACCCCATTTGCCGAACAGCATCCACATGCCAACAGGGAGCACCAGCTCCCGAGGAAGAAGAAACCAACACGATGAAGATGAAGATGCTGCCACCAGGAAGAACTTGCACTCAATCTTCTTCAATGGCAGCGGCCCAAACCCCAACAGGTCACAGTAAGAGGTACCGCCTATCTGCGCTCAGGGTCGGTAACCCCATGCTGCCATCCACGACGCTGGACAGGCCCAGCTATGGCCGCCAACCATGTATCGAGGGTGATGCCTTGCGCCGTTGCAAATAGCGCAGCTTCCAGCAACGCGACCGCAACCTACAGCAACATAGGAAGCTTCCAGCAACCTACAGCCTACGACCTACGACCTACGGCAACATAGGAAGCTTCCAGCAACGCGGTCGTAGGCTGTAGGCTGCAAATAGCGCAGCTTCCAGCAACGCGACAGCCTACCGCCTAAGACAGACAACCTACAGCCTACGACCGAATCTAGACTCCCAATAGCCAAAAAGGGGAAAGGGGCAAACAAAAGCAGCAGGGGCCTCAATCTACAGCAACATAGGAAAGATCCCCCCCCTAAGGGGGAGGTCCAGGGATCAAGCCCTGGACAGCTCAAACTAAGAAAAAAGTTAGAAAAGAACCTACCTAACAATTTAGGGTACAGCCCCCAGAAGCACTGCAAATTCTGCAATTCATTGCAGATAATTGATTATTTGAATTTATTTCCTTTCCTTTGGAAGGATGTACCACCCCTCACCCATAAAAGCGGTTAACAGGGACCCCCACTTTTCAGCCCCAGTTAAACCCCTGAACCCTCACCCCTGCCAAAGTTAGCTTGGTGTTCTACAGTCTTCCCCCGAATACAACGTACGGTCATTATAGCTGAATTTGGGGTATCTTTCAGTCTAAATACAGCTATAATGACCGTACGTTGTATTCGGGGGAAGAAGGTAGTCTCTGAATTCCTGCTCTCATCTGACCGTTATTGGGAGAATTTGGGACTTGCACTTCCCCTGCCAGACCTGTCCCTCTAGCTTTCCGCTCCTTGATCAGGCTGTGCCCAGAAATCAAACCTTGTAGTATTTCCAGTCTGTGTTTGGGAGTCTCTTCTGGCTAATCTCCAAAGCTTAGCTTAAATTCGAACTATACTGCCTTATAGACTATTGGTAGGTTTTCCAAAAAAAACGAAACCCTAGCGAGGTCCAGTTCTACTTTCTAAGGTTGCTGTTGTTTTGCTACTTCTTTCTGCCGACTGATTCCTAAGTTAACCCGTTGCTGCTCCTTCATTATACCTGGTTCGCCCCTCCCTTCGTTTGCCCGTGGGGGTCCCCTCCTATCTGCGTCGCAGGCTAGGCGTCGCTGTGCTCCTCTCAGCTAGTCAATCCAATCCAATCCAATTCGATTCAAATTCAAAGTCAAGGGCAACATAACCCAAACGAACACTCCAAAACCTAGCCCCAATGCAATTTGCAATTCAAATTCATGGGCAACACAACCCAAATGAACACAGGAAAACCTAACAGCCCAATCCAATCCCATTCCCATTCCCTATATCCCTATATCACAATCCACATCCCCATCCCAATAGCAATCCAATCCCAATCACAATCCCGTCCTGAATCCCAATCTCAATCCCAATCCCAATCCCAACCCCAACCGCAATCCCAAGGCCAATCCCAACTCACTCCAGTTCATCCAATCCAATCCAATCTAGTCCAACCCAACCCAATCCAATCCAATCTCAACCCAACCCAATCTAGTCCAACCCAACCCAATCCAATCCAACCCACAATCCAATCTAATGCGATCCAATCCAATCCAATCTAATCCACTCCACTGCACTCCACTCCAAGCCAATCCACTATCCCAACCCAATCACAATCCCGTCCTGAATCCCAATCCCAATCCCAATCCCAACCCCAACCCCAACCGCAATCCCAAGGCCAATCCCAATCCAATCCAATCTAGTCCAACCCAACCCAATCTAGTCCAACCCAACCCAATCCAATCCAATCTAGTCCAACCCAACCCAATCTAGTCCAACCCCAACCCAATCCAACCCAACCCACAATCCAATCTAATGCGATCCAATCCAATGCAATCTAATCCACTCCACTGCACTCCACTTCAAGCCAATCCACTCAACCCAATCTAATGCAATCCAGTCCAATCCAATCTAATCCACTCCACTGCACTCCACTCCAAGCCAATCCACTATCCCAACCCAATCAAATCCAACTTAACTCGATCCAAACCATGTCCAAACCACGATGCCAAGCTGCTACGAACCAATTTAATCCATCGGGAACACAATCCCACCCAGGCCCGATTGACTGGAGTTCCATCCCAATCTGATACAAACCAGTGGCCATCCAATCTCTGATTTATGAGAAGGCACTCTCTGTTCTCACTGTTCCAAGTTAAGAACACAGAAGTTCAAAATTCAAATAGAACTTCGCCATTCATTCAGACCTCTCAAGAGGGAAAAGCCAGATGAGAAAATGATACAAATATACAAAGCAGAACGGCGGACTGATGTGAATGCTACCGTCTTCACCCGAATAGAACGCCCGGTCATTATGGCTGCATCGAGACTGAAAGTTGCCCCAAATACGGCTATAATAATGACCGGCCGTTCTATTCGGGTGAAGACGGTAGCATCTTTCCCCGGACACAATTACCTATCATCGCGACTGTATTGTGCCGGGGCGGACAGCTTGTCTACGGACATTCATGACAATGGAGACTTATGCTCCAGAGAGGATGGCAGAGTAAGAAAGGTCTCTAAAGAGACCTGAAAAAAAAAAAAAAAAAAAAAAAAAAAAAGGACAACTGCACAGGTGGGGCAAATAAAGATTGAGGAACAGGTTGTATTCAACAATAGTCTGGTCTTGAAAAAGGTGAAGTGTTGACTTCTATTCCTTTCTCTATTCGTGCTATTCTTGTATTCCCTACCATCTGCCCCCAAATAGAACATACGATCACTGTAGCTGTATTTGCAGGAACTTTCAGTCTAGATACGGGGATAATGACCGTATGTTCTATTAAGGGGAAGAAGGTATCGCGATCTGGGCATCGCGATCCCGAGTGGGTCTGTTAAACCACCAGTACCTCCAAGAGTCGTTGCGCAGCAGGTAACGCGCCCTCTTGACGCGCTCCGAGCCTGGACTAGAGCGCCCAAATTCGTCCAAGTCGAAACGCTTCCACTTTATTTTTTCGCACGGCCGACATATGGCCGAGGTCCTGGTGGTTTGAGTCTTTTTTCCAACATGAGGGATGGGATCATCTGAGCTTCTAACGTTAGAGCACTCTCTCTCTCTCTCTCTGTCACTATGTCTAGCAGCCAGATGTGACAGAGAGAAGCATCCACTATTAAGCTCGGATGATCCTCGCCCTCTCTCTGATGTTAGAGCACTCTCTCTCTCTCTCTCTCTCTCTCTCTCTCTCTCTCTCTCTCTCTCTNCTCTCTCTCTCTCTCTCTCTCTCTCTCTCTCTCTCTCTCTCTCTCTCTCTCTGTGTCACTATGTCTAGCAGCCAGATGTGAGAGAGAGAAGCATCCACTATTAAGCTCGGACGATCCTCGCCCTCTCTCTGACGTTAGAGCACTCTCTCTCTCTGTCACTATGGTGAAGGGTTATTAGGTGCTTCGAGGGCAAGGTGGTCGCTGGTTGGGTCCACTGTTGTGTGCCAATCGCCCACTAACAGCAGGGATGCTTCTTGCTGTCACATCTCGCTGCTATGCTTTGGATGTCGATTTGTCTTGGTGAAGTGAAGGGTTATGAGGTTAGTTGGAAAGCTTCCTCTTTGAAAGAGAAGTGTCTATTGTTTGCTGTCATTGACTCGTTGCCCATTATCGTCGCCCTTTTTCTTTACCTGCTGTGATGTTGATAATCTTGGCGGTCCATCTGTCGTGTGCCATAGGACCGCTGTCACGGCTGTGCCTGCTGACCCATTCCTTGGAGAGGGATCCCAATGGCTACTAGCCTTAACCCATTTCAGTTTTGTGAGTATTCTGTTTCTGATTGCGCTGTGTTATGGTGAGTCACACAGACAAGTTTTCCTCCACACAGTCTCTGGGGGGTTCCCTGTGTACCCACCCTACCTTCTTCCCCCGAATAGAACGTACGGTCGTTATAGCCGTATTTGGCTCACCTTTTCGTCCAGATGCCGCAGAAATGACCATACGGCGTACGTTCTATTCGGAGGTAGAAGGCAGATAGGTGACCACCAGCTTATCCCATTTTTGAATTTTTTGTATTAGCCAGGATTGTTGTTGACACATTAAGTTAATTGTGGCTTATAAATAGTAATATGAGGTGATAATGGTCGATTGATTTCATGTCAATTTACTCTTGATGTTCCATGACATCACTGTTAGCTCTGGATCCCTACCGCCTTTCCCCGAATAGAACGTATGTTAATTAATAATTATAGTTGTATTTTGGGCAATATTCAGTCCAAATTCAGCAATAATGCCCATATGTTCTATTCGGGGGAAGGGGGAAGACGCTAGGCTTGACCGACAAGTGTCTGGTTTGAAGTGGGTTCTGGGCTGTCTGGGGCCTGCGAGCTTCTGATGTCATGGGCAGATGTCTGTGGGTTCGTCAACTACGATCGTGTTGTCAGTTTGGTTTGGCAGGGTATAGCGCACCTGTGCATGCTGCAGCTTGACTCGTCGGGCTGGCTGAACAGTGTACTCATTGCTTCCATAGTTATGCTCACGCTCCAGCTCTCTTTTTTTTTTTTTTTTTTTTTTTTTTTTTTTTTTTTTTTTTTATCATTATTTCTTCTACGTTGGCTTATGCCAACGTTCATCCCGTTCGTAGTAAGCCCACAAAATTCTGAATGACAGACCCAAGTTCGATCCCTCAAGGGATCGAAAAAAAATCGGTCCATTTCTCGATTTATGCACGTCATCCTTGCGCAGGGCCATGCTGATCTTCGCGCGACCAATTTTGGCCGCGAGATCTGAAGATCTCACAGTCAAAATTGACCGCGCCTACGGCCACTGCCAACGGGCTGCTCCGAAAGGAGCTAGCCCAGATAGTGTCACATCNTTTTTAAAACAACGATGGTGAACCATGTTACACGCAGAACCCTCTTTTTTTTTTCTTTTTTTTTTTTAAAGCTGTCTTCTCCTCATATATGGGGGACAGCTGTATTCACTATGCTTTGCACTATTGTTTTCCATTTCACACTTACCTGCGTACCCCGTGCTATCTATCCACATTTAAAGTGTGTCAGAAATCCATACCTATGTACCGGAGGGTACCAGCTAGGGGCACCCCCATATATATCAAGCATGGCAGAATGCCCCTATCTCTGCACCATAGGGTAACAGCTCGAAGGAACCCACCTATATCTATCCACTACACTCTGTGCAGGGAGTAGTGCCTTCCGGTAGGCTCCTGAGTTCTAACCCCTGCCTTCTTCCCTGGAATACAACGTACGGTCATTATAGCTGTATTTGAGGTATCTTTCAGTCTGGGTACAGCTATAATGACCGTACGTTTCTCAGCTGGTGAACACAAAGTGCACCGCAGGGGGGGCCATGGGGAATCGAACGGACTGCGTGGGGAATCGAGCCCACAACCATCCTGAATACCACTTATGTGCTCTACCAGCTGAGCTAGGCCACTGGCCCTTGCTCCTGCTCTTCTTCTCCACATTGTCTTGTTATTCGTTGGTGTCACACTCATGCTCTTCCTCTCCACATCGCCTTGTTATTCCTTGCTGTCTCAAGCTGTTTGAGATCATTGACTTGCCCCTTGTGAGTTTATGTGAGATTTGATCGCGAGCTTCTTTTGAAAAAAAATAAAAAAAACAGGCCCTTTCGGCCCTGGCTCCATAACCATTTTGGGGAGCATCCGTGCGGTTTCTTCTCCATCGGCAAGTCGCAGAATTATAAAGAAAACATGCTCACGCTTCCTTCCGTTTGGCTGAAGGACTCCTGAACAGTATTGACTGCTCCATATAGGAGGATTTACGGTCAGCTTGCCAAGTGCCACCCCCTCCTCTTCACCTCTTCAAGTGGATTGTCGGATAATTTGATCGCGAGCTTCTGAAGTTGGGTTCATCAAATTGGGGTCTAACAGGGCTTTAAATTTTTAACAACGTTCATCGGGGTGTAATTGGGGTGTAATTGGGGTTTAATTGGCGATCAACTGGGGATCAATTAGGAAGTAATTGGGGATGAATTGGGGTTTAATTGGGGGTGATGAAGGCGATGCACAGGGCAGGATCAGTTAATTAGTTGGTGTTGACAGGAGATTTGAGGGCAAGGAGGGGGGAGGGGCGGGAAGGGGGGGGGGAAGGGTTTGAAAGGTGTGTGTATGTACCAAGCAATCGGTTCGCAGATGCCTGGACTTTGATTTTCCTTTGCCCCAACTTGTACGTGTTCTGGCCCGCTGACTTTACAAGGGGGAAGTGCGCTCCGCCAGCAACAAAATAGGCCTGCAGCTCCTCAACGGCTCTGTCAATATCAGCAGGGGTCTGAAACAGTTAAAAACAGTTCATCGTAATTAAGTTTCAGCGTAAAGACTCTACAGAGCGAAAAAAAACAAGTAAAAAAAACAGATAGACGAGTCACGAAGAGGGTTAAGAACAGTTCACCGTAACTTCAGAAGGATATACAGTATTATACACTTTCCAATATCAGCAGGGGTCTGAAAAAGTTAAAAACCGTTCATGATTGTTTGGGATAATTGAGTATCAGCAAAAAAAAAAGCAAAAAAAAAAAGTTGAAAATACTAAAATAAGTTTGTCTGCAACGAGCTGCTTCACAACTGGCCCCACCCCACCAAAAAAAGCAAAAAAAAGGGCCCAGTGAAATGTAGGAAAGAGCTAGGTTACCAAGTGGCCCACTAGTGAGGTTACCAGGGGCAACTGGCCAGGCATGGCCGGCCGTCTGGCCACCAAACTTTAATACGGTTTTTTTTTTTATTATTATTATTTTTTGGCCTGGTGTGCAGTGAATCCACTCTTGAGAAGCTCACAATTTCCACACCATGCATGACCTCAACTCGCACAATGTGTCATCCACATGCAGTCGCAAGTACTAAAGCTTTCATGGTATCCGATTTCAAAACTGGGAATTTCCGCTAACCCGCCTCGATCGACACCAGAGTTGACTCGAGGTAGGCTGGCCAAGCTATACTAAAAAATAGACAAAGGTAGAGAAGAACAGGAGAGGAGGAGGAAAGCTTTCAACAAAAAAGGAATGCAAACTTCACAGCTCTTCCACCCTCCTTCAACCTCAAGGCTGCTTCCTCTATGCTCACCACCTCAATGGTCCAACCTGACCCTCTGCAGATGATGATGTAGCCGATGTCTCTTCCAGGAGCAACCAGCCAATATACTACTCAACCCTCCAGTGTCGCATCAGCTGGGGTTATGGTGGTTGATGCTCTCAACCAGCACCGCCAGTCTTCCGACGCAAGTCGCTGTCTTGTCAGCAAGCAATCACAGCCAGGTAAGTTACGTAAGCCTCTGTCTCTATCACTTTTTATGCACAGGCATGATCTCCCCCCCCCCCTCCAAACCTCTCTCTCTCCCTCTCTCTCTCTCTACTGCTAAGCTATGGTGCAGCAAACCCTCTTTTCTAGCGATTGCTATCTAGCACTCGCTCTCAAGATCTCTCTCTGTCCGCCTTTCCTCCACCACTACTGTTAGCACTCTGAAGCAGTGCTCCAGCATCAAGCAGCGTGAGGGAGAATGAACGAGTCACATTTGTAGTGTTGACCCGACCTGGCCTGGCTGCCTTCTTCCCGTTTCGAAAGGCTGAGATTTCTCGAGCTTGTGTGGCCCAGATTCGGTGTTCGCCAATATGTGCCTGGACTCAGTGGGCGTTGGATACTTCTGGATGACTGCATTTGCAAGGAACCCAACTGATTTTCAACACCAGATCGCACTTGCGGCACACAGAATGCTCACAGACATTCACCCCAAGCATCGCAGATGACAAGTCTCCACACACGAGGAGGAGTAACCCTTCGAAATATTTGATATTATAGAAGGAATGACTTGGAATACAAGCAGCTGACAGGCGCTATCACCAGCATCAACAACAGGTTACTCTCTCTCTCTCTCTCTCTCTCTCTCTCTCTCTCTCTCTCTCTCTCTCTCTCTCTCTCTCTCTCTCTCTCTCTCTCTCTCCCCCCCCCTCCCCCCCCGATATGCCCTCAGTGCTTCAAGTGCTAAACCTCACGTGCTTGCTGTCTCTCTCTCTCAGACCTTGGACCGCTCACTCGCACTTCCTGACACTCGCCTCCTTGGCTATGGTGAACTTCTTCTTCCGGCTCAACTGTGGCTATGGCTCCTATCGCCCTCTTCTTCCTTCGCCAACCTCGGACTGTCCAACCCGTTGGTCGCAGAAGTGCTACAGCAACTTGCGGATTGACAAGTGACCCGTAAAGGTACTGTAGCATCTATAAATAGCAGCACTCGGTGGTTGTCTGCTCTGGACCTGTAATGGTCCCCCGCGGCCTGTCGGCTGCAAGTGTTAGTTCCGGAAGTCACCGGACTTTCCCAGGGTGCTGCAGCAAAAATTGACTTCGGGACTTGGACTTTACTGTCCGCTACCGGGCTGGAGTTATACCTGTTATGATTCTGGTTGTCTGTTGTCTGAAGACCAACACTCACTCACATAGACTCCCAGGTATGCCCATACATACACAGAAGGAAGGGGAGAGGATAGGAGTATCACACCGCACAGGGAGAGATAAACACAGCGGAAGACTTGACCATGCGGTATGACAGTATACACTGAAAGTGCAATTCACTCCACTCAATCCTCACAACCAGTCATAAAGGAAAGCCGAGTAGATCACATCCAAGAAACAATTAAACGATGATAGTCTGAACCCAGTATCAACACTGTTTATTAAACTCAGAGTCCCGAATTGTCAGGATAACCTTAGAACTATGATGCGCTGCTAAGAGATGAGCAGCGCTTCACTCCCCAACCCAGATGAACCGCTATTACTACCCCTGAGTCCCTGAAACATCAAGCACCACCCAGATACAACCTCCAGAGGGAAGCGCCACCCTGAAACAGGCCTCTGAGGCCAAGCGCCACTCGAAGGATGAAGAAGAAGACCAGCGCCACAGTATCTGATGATGACAAAGTGTCGAATGACTTCCCGGGTACCAAACCTCTGAGCTAGGGGCGTAGGCGTGCAGAGCGTCGCAGGGGTTCTCCCTTCTGTGCTGCCTCATATTTGAGGACAACAGACTTTGCGGTTTTAAGAAGTTCCTTGCGAGTAAATCAGCGATCCTATGTATGCGGCTGGTATGAAAAGTTCACAAGGTACTCCTTGTCTGGGCCTGTATCTGACTCATCCTCAAGTGACTCCACCTCATATCCCCTGCTAGGAATAGGGGGACCGAATTGAGGAGGCCTGTCTGGGAATGCATCAGCTGACGTAAACGGCAAAAACTTAAATGCATGAAAGACAGGGTAGGTTTGTAGATGCAGAGGGACATCCACTGTGTAGGATGGTCCAAAAGGATCAGCTCCCACTGTATCTAAGACCTGCCATGGACCCATGTGTCGCGGCAGCAGCTTAGGCAAAATGTCCTCCTCTCGTGACAACTCAGAACTAAGTACCCACCCCCAATCACCTGTGCGAATAGTCGAAGGACATCTGTGTCGGTTAGCCTGCTGAATCATAGCTTTTTGAGCTTTCAGCAGGTTGGCACGACCACGCTCAATGTCCACACGGTAACGTCTGGTGAACTCTGCAGTTCCAGGCGTCAATGTGGGGGAAGCCTTGTTGATGACATCATCGAGAGGTTGTCGTGGCTCACGACCCCAATGCAACCGGTAGGGTGTAAAGCCTGTGGAGGAGTGTACAAATGTATTATACACAAGTTGTGCACGACCTAGATGGAGATCCCATTCCTGCTGGTCTGGACTGATCACAGGACGCAACAATTGAAATAGAATTTGGTTCATCACTTCAGCCTGACCATTGGTTTCAGGATGACGACCAGATGTCATATCCAGGCGAGAGTGAAGGTAATCCTTGCAGTAGGATTGCCATTCATTGTTGCAAAACTTGGGATCTCGGTCACTGACTATAGAGGTGGGTGGTCCATGATGTGTAACCCACCTGTCAGCAAATGTCGCCTGAACGGCTGGAACGCGAGCCTCAACTGGCAAGGGGATGAACTCTGCGTAGTTGGAAAACCGGTCCACACACACCATAACCTGACGCATCCCACGAGGTGTGGTCCTACCCAAGTCAGTAAAATCTACAGACACTGACTGTGCAGGTGCTTCAGGGATAGGTAGGGGTTTGAGTAGGCCAAGGGGAGGTCGACGTACAACCTTGTTCCTTTGGTATAACTCACAGATTTCCACATAATGCAGAATGTCACTCCTCATCTCCTTCCAAAAGAAGCGCTCCGACAGGGCTGCATACTATTTGAGGGCACCAAGCATCATAACACTCTGACTTCAGAAGTGTTCTCAACTTGCGGTCCTGGGGAATGCATAGGCGTTCCGCACCTCTGTTGCACGTATACAGCAGATCTGAAACCATAGTATATCTTGGTTCAAAGGCAGAATCATCCTCAAGATTCCTTACTATAGGCCCAAAAATCGCATCCTAGGGCAGCAAACGGGCAATGGTCTGACGAGTCTTCTCTCCAAATGCGTGAGTAAAGGAGATTAGAAAGAGAGCGTCAGGCCTACGAGAAAGGGCATTTGCTACTCCATTGTGGCAGCCCTTTGTGTGCTTCAGTTCAAAGTCAAACATGTCAATGAACTGAATGTAGTGAGCAAGCTTGTCATTCAATTCTCCCTGGGACTTCATCCACTGAAGGGTGGAGTGATCTGAAAAGATCTTGAAGTGTCTGCCTAAGAGGAAGTGTTTCCAATGCTTGAGCGCTGACACAAGAGCATAAAGCTCTTTCTCATAGGTAGAGTCCCGCAACTTCTTGGTTTTGATCTTCTTGCTCGTATATTCGACAGGCTGCAAACCGTTTCCATCATCATCCTGTTGAAGTACTGCTCCTACACCATACTGACTCGCATCAGTGGTTAGCATAAATGGCAAGGTAGGATCAGGTAACTTCAAAACAGGAGCACGAATCAAGGCCTCCTTGAGACGTGTGAAAGCCTCCTGACATTTGATGTCCAAAGAAAGGAAGTGTCTCTCTTTGTGAGGTCAGTCAGGGGTGTTGCAATAAAGGAGTTCTTGATGAACTTCCTGTAGTAGGATGCAAGACCCAAGTAAAACCGGACATTACGAATGTTAACAGGCTTCGGCCAGTCCTGAACAGCAGCAACTTTCGTTGCCTCGGGAGCCAACCCCTCTCCAGAAATGACGTGACCCAGATAGACTACAGAGGAAACTCCAAAAGAGGACTTCTCCCTGTCAGTCTTATACTGGTTATCATGTAAGGCCTGGAGGACCAGAGCCAGATGTTGCGCATGCTCCCGGACAGAACGACTGAATACCAGGATATCATCTAGATAGACAACTACGAACTTGTCCAGGTAAGGCCTGAGTATGCAGTGCATCTCTGTTTGGAATGTGCCTGGGGCATTGCAAAGACCGAATGGCATGACCAGCTACTCATAAGTGCCATATCTGGTCTTAAAGGTTGTCTTGTGGACATCGCCTTCAGCCATCTCAATCGGGTGGTAGCCAGATTTGAGGCCGATCTTGCTAAAGATAGTGCAACCCTGCACCATATCCAACAGATCATCAATATGAGGAAGAGGCTCTGTGGACTTCCTCGTGATTTTATTGAGACCCCTGTAGTCCACACACATCCTGAACTCACCATTCCCCTTTGGAACAAAGAGGACTGGTGCTTCAAACTCAGATATGTTGGGCCGGATCCAGCCTTTGCTGGTCAGGGTCTCCAACTTTCTCCTGAGCTCATCAAGTTTAACAGGTGACATCCTATAGACTCGGCCCTTGGGAGGGACTGAACCAGGCAGGATCTCAATCTTATGTTTGGTTTGCCTATGGACAAGTCCAGTCGGCTCCTGCATAAGATCTAAGAATTGGTCTACAACCTGCTGGATTTGAGAGGGACAAGGAGCAGTCTCCACATCAGTCTGTTTGACATAAGCCACAAACATACAGGTGTGGTCAGTCTGGCACGACATTCGCATAAAGTTGCGAGCACACATGCAGTAACAACTGTTGGCCGGATGGTCCTCATCTGCGAGCATACAAGGGTGATAAGCCCCATGTCGGTCAGGTAGCTCAACCCTAGGGATCCACTAGTCGATCCTGGGGTTGGTGGCACTAAGCCACTGCATGGAGAACACAAGGTCAAAGGGAATATTAGGAAACACATAGAAATTCAGGCGGTGCCTGATTTCTCCCCGCTTGTCAAAGGTCACAGGTAGGCCCTTGACAGCAGTAGTGATCCTGACTGTGGAGGAGTCACCAATGCGAACCTCGATAGGTTGTCGCAATCTCACAAGTCTCTCTCTGATCCAAGTGCAATTTGTTGACTGCCTTGGGAGACATGAAGTTGCGAATAGCCCCACAATCCAAGAGCCCTTTGATCTTGGCTCCCAGGATAGCAGGATGAGTTCTGACCTATGATTCTTCCTTTCCTTCAAGGACAGGAAAAGATCAGCAAGGCACTGAGAATCATCCTCCTCCCATGTCTCATGTAACTCAGCGTCCTCATATGTGAAGGACCCTAAAGATGCAATTCCAAAAACAGAACCAGCGAGAGAATGTGAAGATCACCCTCATCAGAAAGTGAATCAGCACTGGTGGAAGAAGTTGTTACTTCCACCCCTCTCTGCTCTAGTTTTTTCAACTAGAGCTGCCTGTGGACCTGCGAGGCATCAGGAAGTGGTCCCCCTCGCACCTCAGGCAGACACCCTTGTCCTTTCTCTTCCTCCAAACCCCCTCCTCGATCCTGAGTGCATGTCAGGGGAAGGTGGAAGGATCAAGGGGGTCAACTGGCTAACGGATGTCACGTGGTAGTGGAACTCTCTGGGCACTAGGGGAAGAGGCACGTCCGTTACCTTTCCCCTTACTACTAGTTGATGCTTTCTGGGTCGGGGCTTTGCCCCTTGCCATGCCCATCAAAGCATCAGTCAGGGCAAGAACAGCAGGATCTACAACAGATGATGAAGCAGTCCCAGATGGAGGGGTCCCACCCTAGGATGCCGCATCACTATCTGAACTAGAAGCTACAGCAGCAAACAGGGCACCCTTCCGCCTTATTCGCGCCTTTGAGGAGGGTCCCTTCCTTCCTTCAGAAGGTGCTTCCTGGACATGGAGTTTAGACTCCAAGTCCAGGGTTGCTTTGCCAAAGGACCGCCAGTCCTTGTGGCCTTGAGAGAAAAGAGCAATCTGGTATCTCTCAGGCGCTGCTCTCAAGAAATGAATGAGCAAGTCCTGCTCACTCGTCTCTAGCCCAGGAGTCAATATAAGACTCTCAAAGGTTGAATAAAGTTTAGACAAGGAACCGTCAAATCTCTTCTGACCTAGCTGCAAAATTTTATCTGATGCTTTTCTGGCCTGTTCCTTGTCTGAAAATTTATCCTGCAGAGCCTGCAGAAAACCAGTCACCCCTAGCCTCTGCGCCCAATCAGTCGTTTCCATCTTTTGCTTGCTGGAGGTAGAAGTGCACCATTTCAGTGCAATTCTCTCCAGACGGGCAAGGATGGCAAACACCTTCACATCCTCATCACATTTGAACCCACTCAGGTAGGGTCGTTGTGCAGTGACCCAATCTGCAACATCCACCTTTGGGTACTCGCCAGAGAACATGGGTGGAGGTGTCATCTTGGGCCGATGCATGTCAAATGTGACTGAGGGTTGTGAAGCTGTTGTTGATTTGGGTGTAAAGGGAGGGGATGTAGGTCTAGATTGTGGGAGTTGTTGAGGGCCTGCTTGGGAGGGATCGGAAGATGGAGGAACGGTCAGGGTGGTTGGGATCTTTAAATAAGTAAAGATCTGATCCAATTTGGAAGAGATGTCATCCAGCTTCTTCGAAAAAGTTGAGTGGCTGCTCTCCAGACCGGTGATCCTCTCGTCCCAGTTAGTAAAATAAGAACGGTGAATATCATCCTGCAAGAGGATGAACTCAGCCATGTCCTTATTGTACTGGCTAGAAGTACCACTCACCCTAATCTTCTCGATGTCTGCAACCAACAATTTTCTCCTGGCCTCCTCCTGAGCTGCTTCCTCTTTCCTTTTTAGCTCAGCCTTTAGAGCCTCAACTGCCTGTGCCTGTTGGCGGAGTTTCTCCTCCTGGGCACGCAGTTCAGCCTCTAAAGGGTCAAGCGGAATCTGAGGCTTTACCTCAGAAACTTCACCCTTTTCTGTCTCAGACATTTTACTGTTTTCCCACAATTCACATAAATAAAAATAAAACAATAACCAGAAGACAGAAATGGAAGTGACAGGGATTGGGTTTTCTCAGCAGTACTCGCCCACTTACTGTCACCTGACTGGAGAGAGAAATTGATTAGTCTGAGCAAGTGAGTGCTTTGTCTCTGCAGATCACTTGAGGATCAGGGTCAGTTTAGAGTAAACTCGGCAAAAATCAATTCACGATTTTCCAATCACTGCCCTGACTTAACAATTGCACGCAATAACTGCAAATCCTTGCAGGATGCAATCCTAGACTGATTAGTGTTAATTAGCAATTAGACAGAGTGACTAATTAGGGATAGATAGTTGTCCACTGATGACCAAGGTGCAACGATTTACAGGTTATCCTATTTTTAGACGTACCCTACAAACTTCACCACTGTATGACCCTGTATGCCATACCCAGGGTATGGCGAATTACAGAAATAATTGTAACTGACTCAAAACCTCAAATCTGATTGCGCAATTTCACATACAAGTTGTACACTGAATTGCGATGTATCAGGGACTGGCAGAATTGAAGTTATGACTGACCCTAGTCTAGCCAAGCTTCAGCTATGGCAGCGCAAAATTCAAATTTGCTTTATCACTGACAATAGGACCCTGAACAACTCAATTCATAGTAAAGAATGAATCGCAACACTGTAAAGCAGTCACAAATGAAAGTTGAGTAAGAGAGGAGGTCAAATAGGGTTAGTAGAAGCCAAAGAAGATAGGTAGGGGAAATCGGCCATGGCTGCCCCACAGTCTGAATTTCGATTATCAACTGTCAACTAACTGACAGACCATATTTCGCTAATCTAAAAATGGAACACACTTACTTCAGGGTTATCTACCCCATCTCGCCAGTTTCATTCCCTGATCATTCCCAGTGTTCCCATGTCCCAAACCTCCTGAAACTTGGTGATCCCACAGATTACCCTGAGGTGCTTCACCCCCAACTAAAAAAAACACTGAATTCGGACTCCCAGATGTTGATAACTGAGAAACTCAGTGCAGCGCCACTTCACCCTGTACTGCGCTGCTTGGAAATTGGGGATCTTGACCCAATTCCAAAATCGCAACACCCTGGGATCCTTCTTTGTCAATCGCCAGTCTCCAGATAAATCGCCAGGCTAAAAATAGCCTCTCAGAGCCTCCCAGGCCTCTGAGCACCAATCGCCAACCACTCTTGCACAACCCTAAGCAGGAGTGTGTCACCCTCTGTCCAATTCTTCTCGCCACACACTCACCACCACCACCCTCACTGTCGTAAACTCTGAAGATCGCAAATCGCCATGAAATTCAACTCCAGTGTCTCGCCAGATGATGGAGGTTGCTCCAACTCATCAACCACTCCAGTGTCTGGATCCAATCGCTCCGATACCAACTGTCACGATTTTGGTTGTCTGTTGTCTGAAGACCAACACTCACTCACATAGAATCCCCAGGTATGCCCATACATACACAGAAGGAAGGGGAGAGGATAGGAGTATCACACCGTGCAGGGAGAGATAAACACAGCGGAAGACTTGACCACGCGATATGATAGGGTACACTGAAAGTGCAATTCACTCCACTCAATCCTCACAACCAGTCATAAAGGAAAGTCGAGTAGATCACATCCAAGAAACAATTAAACGATGATAGTTTGAACCCAGTATCAACATTGTTTATTAAACTCAGAGTCTCGAATTGTCAGGATAACCTCAGAACTATGATACGCTGCTAAGAGATGAGCAATGCTTCACTCCCCAACCTTGATGAACCGCTATTACTACCCCTGAGTCCCTGAAACATCAAGCGCCACCCAGATACAACCTCCAGAGGGAAGCGCCACCTTGAAACAGGCCTCTGAGGCCAAGCGCCACTCAGAGGATGAAGAAGAAGACCAGCGCCATGGTATTTGATGATGACGAAGTGTCGAACGACTTCCCAGGTGGAAGTCTGCAGCAGCACCACCTCTCCTCACAAGATGATCTCCGAGGAAGCACCACAACCCTGTAACCCTAGTCCGGAGGAGGGTCCAGCAGGGCACCAACTTCTCTCACCTCCAGCAGACTTCGAATAGCCCAGACCGTTGTACAGCCCCGTGTGCTGTCAGAGTACCGCGCAGGTCCAAGCTATGGCCGGCGCTCCGCAGGTCTGGCTATGTTCGTCTTCTTCAACGCAGAGTTGTCACCACTTCCAGTTCTTGCGTTGCACAGCCGCGATGTACACGGTACCAACTGCCAAAAGCCCTAAACCGATGTGTACATCCTATCTATAACCTACCCTAGCCTAGACTCGACCTAGACCGGACTGATTGGACCAACCGGTACCGTATCAGTTTCGGCCTCTCGGCCTCTACCTTAACCGGCTATAGGCTATAGGACCGTCTATCAGCATAGGCCCTCAGGGCCTGTCTGTCCTAGGGGTAGCCCGGGCCTGCTACTCACAGTATGGGTAGCTGTAGGTACTGTTAGTTAGTATGGGACTATATTTTCCTGAATTTTTCAGATATGTCCCTCTCGGATTTTCCCTACAGATAGGTCTCTCGGTTAGCCCTCAGCCAAACAAAATTACAAATCTATCCTACCTATAGTACAGCCTCGTCGAGAGAGGCTACAGACCGTCAGAACCAGCAAGTCATTGCATACCAACCTACGACCTTTCAACATCTAGACCCTACAGGACTCTACCAGACTCCTACAGACCTTTAGGACCCTCGGACTGGGACCTTCCGGGACCCTTGGGACTAGGACCAACTGGGACCAAATGGGACTTCGGGGCCGGGACTCACAGTGTGAAATTCTTTCACAGTGATCCTTTGTGATCAGAAAGGTGTAATGAACCCAGTCACATTGAGCTAGTCATCAATGCTATAGAAGTCTGAACCCAGAGGGCCTTATGAAGTCTCCAACATCAATTACAATTCCATTCCTCAATCATATGCACAACTCCAGAGTATTGTCTGATCAGAGAAGAGCATGAGAGGAGAGAAATAGGAGAGAAAACACAGACAAGAGGAGGAGGAGAGTCACAATGATAATCAATAGTACATGTATGTCTCTCTCTCTCCCCCACGTCCACTTCGGGCTTCTCCCCTATCACCACCTCAGCAATGTATACTCCCTCTGATGTCCTCTGACATAATCACTGCGCAGATCATTACATGGCGCCCATGCTCCGTCCACAACAACAATAAGTAGGCTGGCGCCCTCCAGCAGCATCTGGCCCTAGCATCCAACTCCAGCAGCCTCGCAATACAGCATCAAGCCAGCGCATGGCAGAATGCCTTCCGCAGTGTCTGGCTGTCCTCTTTGTAGCGTTGACCAGTGTGGACTGGCGTGGACCAGTCTCCCCTTTGACGGTGTCAACGCTCCAGATTTCCCCGATCTCGATGGCCTGGATGCAGTCTTGAGGCAGCGGTACCTTTTCCCAGTCGGGACTGGAATCTTCCGGATACCTGCAGACAACCATTGATGTGCATCTGATCTATCGCCGAGGCTGACTACTGGGTAACTTTGACTTTGGGCCTGCTTTTCCCGTGCGCAGTCTGACTCTTGATTTTCCAAGAGTCAACTACCTCACGTGGGGGCAGCACTGGATGCTGTTTTTTTACCCAGGCCCTGATACCCCTTGACCTTAGGCCCTTTCCTACCCACATTTTTCAGACTTGGGACATGACCGTTGTTACATGCCCAGTTGGGCAATGTATGTAAACCCAAGGATCCGCAATGTGATAAAAAGGACTAAATGGACAATGCGATGTCAGTGGAATCTCAACAAGCAATGTACATCCTGATACCTACAAAATGGCACTTTGTAGCGCAGTGGAAGACTTAGATATAAGCCCTGACCTGACCGGGACTGACCTCTCTCACGTAGTACAAGACAGCGCAGCGGAATGCTACAATACCAATGACTAGCCCAATCAATGTCGCAATGCAGACCAAACATACATAATCCTCATCACAAGGTGTGAAGGGGCCTGGCGCTACACACAGGAAGAATGCGCCAGGTCCAGACCATACACAGACGAAGAGGAGGGGATCAGACGAATAAGAGAGGGAAGATGGGAATGTCGTCAACACCAAGTCATCGGTACACGTCCCAGATAATCCCTCGTCAAATGTCTGAAGCCCAATGTCGAGTCTGGATCCAAATGTCACCAATCCCGCTCTCTCTCGTAGTCTGCTGATGCAGTGAAGTCAGGTAGCGAGAGGGTGAGAGGGAGATGGTGGACGGAGAAGAGGAAGAAGAAGACGTCTCTCTCTCTCTCTCTCTCTCTCTCTCTCTCTCTCTCTCTCTCTCTCTCTCTCTCTCTCTCTCTCTCTCTCTCTCTCTCTCNTCTCTCTCTCTCTCTCTCTCTCTCTCTCTCTCTCTCTCTCTCTCTCTCTCATGTGCCAGGTACTAACCTGTGAAGATGGCGGTGTGCTGCAGGTACCTCGAAGACGAAGTTGGAGCTATGGCGCTGCAGGTAAGTCTCCTGGCCTCCGCCCAATCTCTCTCTCTCTCTCTCCAGTACTACTCTAGCTCCTACTAGCGCCCAGCGCTGAAGACTACTGCTAACGCTATTACTACTATTGCAGCGCTCCTCCAGAGTGCTGTTGCTGCATCCTGAAGACTACCTCCTGCCTCCTGAACTGCACGTGAAGTGCCTGGGAAGTCCCTATGAACTACCTGCAGCCTGCAGGGCAGGCCACTCTTATATAGTGCTGGCCCGTCCAGGAGGCTGCTCTTGCCAATGCCAAAACGTGCCAGACCCTGGCGTTGAAGCTCAAACAAAGGTTGTCTTGAAAACAGGCCCAAAATGGCATGTGCTAAGACCCTGGTCTGGTGCCTGAGTTTTAGGGCAGGTCGATCTTATGAGGGCCTGAAAATGGCCCTCCGTTTCAGGCTGAAAAGACTAAGGGCATGGAGGGCCCTGTTTTAGGCTGAAACGGCACAGGGCCTGTAGGCCCTTGTTTTCAGGCTTTCAGGCTGAAACG